GCTAATTTTCTTTTTTCTTGTTTGGTCATTTTATTTGATTGAGATCCATAGTAGACCAAGGATGTATCAGCCATCCCCTCTTGGTCACTTATTCTCAGAGAAGTCTATAATTTCCCTCTAGTTAATTGTATGAACTTAAACAGGGACCAGAGCAGTCTGGTCAAACACCTCTGTTTCTGCTGGTGAAGGTGATTTTGTGCCTGGACAGTGCCCTACTTTCCCCCATCTTCAGCTGCCCGGAAGACCATTTGGGATTTATTAGCCAGAGGTGGCTGTTGTCTGGTGGCAATAAGTCCAGTAACCCCACTTTCTTGCTTTAGCGGTGTGCTGTGTTTCAAAGAAAAGTGCTGACCATGGTACTGCTCCCCCTACAGATGGAGATGGTAAGTGAGCCCTATTGTGTGACCCTCCGAGGTCTGCCCTAAGACTCCTAAATATTGTCCCTCTGTAGCCTGGTCAGTTTCACGTAGAAACCATTTCCGTAGCAGTCTGGGGTGGGTGAGATGTGCACCTAGCTTCTCTCTTGCTGTATTCCTCCAGCACAGTTCCATCTGAGCCTTCGCACTTACTGTTTCTTCTACTGGTATAATTTTTCTCCCAGCTATATCCATGGCCTGTTCCCTTGCTTCATTCACATGTTACCTCTGAAAGGTCTTCTATGGCCAACTTAGAAAAACTGGCAACCCCAGCCACTCTGGATTCTTCTTTCGCTCTGTTTTTCTTCATAGCACTTGTCATTGCCTGACATTGTTTTATTTCATTTGCTCATTTGTTACCTGTATTCCTCACTAGGATGTCAACTTCCATCAGGGAAGGGACTTTGTCCTATTCCTGTTAACATCCCCAGTAACTAAGTCAGTGCCTGCTACAGTGGGGTCTTCAAATACTTCAGCCATAAAAGATCCTTAGTGTTTGTAGCTTTTTAAGTAACTATTCAGAGAATCTCATTTCTCACTATTTTTCAAATGTACAGCCAGAGGCATCTCTAGACCTGCCATGGGCAGGAGCTTCTATACACCCTTTCAGGCTGCTGGTGGGCTGTCCCAGGACTATTCATCTACCAGTCAGCCCAGAGTACTTAGCTTTCCCTTACCCGGTGCGCTGCCATCAGAATAGGATACTCTTCTCTGTTCTGACAGGATGGAGCTTAACATTCTGCTCTCTGCTTTCAGATGACGAGATGATGGCCACAGAGGTAACCCCCTCAACCATGGCGGAGCTCACAGACCTGGGCAAATGTCTAATGAAGCATGAGGTGGGTGGAAGGGGCAGCTGAGGTTTTTCTGCTTTCCTGGTATGGCGCCAGCATCCACTTTTCTGAATCTCTGATACCGTCATAGAATTCTTTGGGATAATGCTGCTTTATATGGGTTAAAACTTCCTGGTTCCTAAAGCCCCCAGAAAAGAGTGGGAAAGGTCAAGCAAGGTGTCTTCCATGCCAGCCTGGGCAAAGGTTTTCAGAAAAACATACGGGCACATTGTGGTATTCAGCACCACTCCAGCCCCCCAGGCCTAAGTTTGGTCTCCTTACACATAGGTTTTCTCTTCTATGTGGATTGTTTTTTCTTCTTTTTGACTGCCTAATGTACAGAGAGAAGAAATAAGCTTGTCTTTAGTAGCTTTTTTATCAGGTTGCTATTTATCTATGAAAACACTATCCCCTCATGCATAGGCCTACAAAGAAAATTGTGTTCGTTTTCTCATTGTAATCCTTCATCCTTTCCCACTAGGATGTTTGTACGGCGCTATTAATTACAGCCTTCAATTCCCTTGCCTGGAAGGATACTCTGTCCTGCCAGAGGACGACCACCCAGCTCTGCTGGCCTCTGCTCAAACAAGTATGGTTATTCACCCCTTCTTCTCCTCACCCCTTATGTAAGCCTGGGTTCATGAGGACTGACTGAATCAGTTGGAAGAATCAGGTTGCTGGGGCTTTCAGAGGGTGCCCCTTTGGCCCTGAGCACAGCTGTGTCCCCAGGTGCTGTCAGGGACACTGCTCGCAGATGCTGTTACGTGGCTTTTCACCAGTGTGCTGAAGGGCTTACAGACGCACGGGCAACACGATGGCTGCATGGCTTCCTTGGTCCACCTGGCCTTCCAGATATACGAGGCACTGGTGAGTCAGACAGCATGGAGGCAGGGTTGGCTGCAGCTTCATCCCCAGGGGCCTGTTCCCAGGCAGTTGGGCCATAATGAAAGTAGGAAGCTGCCAGGTTGCTAGTGTGGCCTGAAGAGATGAGTGTGGTGGGGGATGGGAAAGGTGGCAGGCCCCAGCCTGCACCAGTGAGTGGTTTTATATATCTCCACTCCACAGCGTCCCAGGTACCTGGAGATAAGAGCTGTGATGGAGCAGATCCCTGACATACAGAAGGACTCTCTAGACCAGTTTGATTGCAAGCTGTTGAACCCCACTCTACAGAAAGTGGCTGACAAGCGCCGGAAGGACCAATTCAAACGCCTCATTGCTGGCTGCATCGGGGTAGGTCACATGCCTTCCCTTGTGCTCCCAGCAAGCTTGACCCACTCTGTGGTCTTAGACCATGTGTCCTGGCAGACCAGAGACCAGCTGTAGTTGTGGTCTTTCAGACAGTCCACTACTCAGGGCCCAGCATCAATTCTTCTCATTTGTCTTCCACAGAAGCCCTTGGGAGAACAGTTCCGAAAAGAAGTTCACATTAAGAATCTTCCCTCGCTTTTCAAAAAAACTAAGCCAATGCTGGAGACAGAGGTGCTGGACAACGAGGAGGGCGGCCTGGCCACCATCTTTGAACCCTGAATCAAACTTTTGGGCATTCTTCCTCGGCCTTTATTGTCATCTCTTCTTCCCCTTCGTAGCTAATCTCTAGGCCCCTCTCCACTGCCACCTCACTTTGTACCACTGTCAGCCTGGAGAGAGATCCAGGTCTGGAGCTGGAGAGAGGGGCCCCAGTGCAGGGCAGAGGTAACGAAATCTAAGGTATCAAGAAAGGCAGTTCGTGCTCACACCATTCCGTCTAGATCTTCCAGGTATCTCCCATTCTTCTTGGAGTTTCAACTTTCCAAGAAAGAAAGGCTAGAGCAGACTGGCCCTACTCCCCAAGCCCTCCCACACCCATGTAGCCATACACCTGTGTAGAGTGGTAACTAGGGGTGCTAACACCCAACACTGCAACCAGCTGGGCTTACATAAGGGCTCGGTCCTCACTGCTTGCTCCAGAGTTGCTCCTGGGCTGCTGCAAGTCCCACTGAGCCCCCTTACTGCTAGACTGGGAGAAGACCTTCCCTGTACCCCGGGGCATGTCGGTCAGTTGCTGAGTGCTGAACTGAATTTAGCCAGTTCCCTCTCTGTTGGAGCAAGAATCTGGTTACCTGATGGGATCTATGGTACAGGCTGCTGCCAAGCTCTGGGCACAGTGTAAAGTATAGTCCCATCGGGGACCAGGGCTGGGCCAGGATCTGGAGTGCTTTCTGACATCCCCTTAGAGGTCACACATATTCCATGCGCAATCCCTCAGCGTGGTTTCCCCAGCCCCCAGGGTCCACTCAGGCATAAGAGCCACAGTACCCTATCTAGTGTCATGTGATGCCACTGGCATCTGAGGATAATGCAGGCCAGCTAAGCTATGTCTGTAACAAGCAGCTAGCAAAGCCACTGGTCTCTTCTCGGACTAGTTGGGTCCAGGTGCCTTCAAAAATCTCATGGTCTTTCAGGTCCCTGATCACTTCTCTCATGGACCATTTCCAAAAGAAAAAAATATGCCTTCCTATCACAACCTGTATTGTGAGGCTCCACTCTGTTCTAAAGGTCACTGAATGGCCCTGTAAGCAGAGTGGACATGAATGCAGGACCCTAGCCTTCAGGTCACTGCTGACTGTAGACCGGCTTATTGCATATAGTGTGTGTCTGTGTTCTGTACAGAGAGGCCTGTCATCGGTGTAGTCCACTGACATGAGGGTTTCAGAAAGGACTGAGTGGAATAGCCTGGGCTCAAGCTACGGCTGTGAGCTGGTGGCACCCGGGCAGGGTGGGAGAAGCGAACCTGGTTGGGAAATAGGACTTTGGGGTCCTGTGTAGCTGTGTCTATGGCACAGATTTGCCCCATGCCTGCTTACTAAGTGGTGCTTTGGGCTGCTTCCTGTCAGTTGTGAAAGCCATGTCAGAGTAGGCTTCCCTCCAGACTTGATGGCTGCCTACCCCTGTCTGTGGTTGGGGCTGTGGAGGGCATAGTTGTATTTATTGTGCTGTAATATTTTTAACATCCTGTGACTTCATGCTAGAAGTTTTCTATTGTTTATAGAACCTTTTTGTAGAAACATTAACTCTAAAGCACATCTGCATGTCAGTAAAGATCTCAAGTTTCATACAGAAAGGGCCCCATCTGCCTTTTTCAAACCAGTGACATCTGGTGTCACTGCTCCTGAGCATCCTGCTGAGGGGACTGGACACAAAGGACTGTGACTGATGGACCTGCTATATCAAGCTTTCTCAAACAGTATGACAACCAGAAAAAGATTGCTATCCCTGACAGACCTAGACCAGGTAGCCCATACCTTCTCCCAAGTGTTCTCTGTGGCCGTTGGACCAGACTCCAAGGGACTATCCAAAGGGAATAGTCCTGCTGTTCCTTGTGTGACGTTTTTTTTTTTTTTTTTTTTAAGATTTTATTTTTAAGTAATCTCTCTATCACCCAATGTGAGGCTTGAATTTACAATCCTAAAATCAAAAGTCACATGCTGAGTCAGCCAGGCACCCACCCAGTGTGACTGGACAGCTGTGAACCACGCTTTTTCCTCAAAAACTTCCTCTGATAATAGGTTAAGTGGCACATACTTTTTCTGGTCTAGCTGAGTGTCCGTCCCCCCCACTCCCCAGGAACCACCTCAATTTGGCACACCTCAAGGCTTCAGAGGGACTTGGCCCTAACCTGCAGTATCCCCAGAACCCGATGTTCCTAAGGGCTAAATAATGCCAAGCCTTTTCTGAGGTGAGGCTCCATATTTGAGGGCTAAAACTCAGGTAGTAGTCTCTGACAAGAGGATCTTTATTTGGATGTGAATTTATTTACATTAAGGCCTTACAAAGGCACGAGGTCACATTTTGTGGCATATTTAGCAACATACTGACTGAAAATAAGACTGGAACTGTCCCAGAAAACCCAGGATCTCCAGTCACACCAGACTCTAGCAGGCCTGTGAGGTCAGGTCAGGACCCAAGATCTTCAGCTTGGCTCAGGATCATCCGAGGCCAGCCATGCCAGTAAGTCCGGGGCAAACCTCAGTCCATCTGAACTGCATCCAGTTCATCCAAGAACCGTCGGCACTTCCCCATCAGCACCTTGATGGCTTCACTCACTAGCACATCTGGTGGTAACACCCCTGTTGACTCGACAGAGACTGGGAGGCAGAGACACACATTAGCCCAGGTAGGAGCTGTATACCAGCTCCTGCGCTACAGTGCTATAGAATCCACACCTGGACTCTGCAAGGAAACTGCTCTGCCACAGAACTGACCTGACCCGCCCCACCCCACCCTCTGCTTGACCAGATACTCACAGATGTAATGGTCTCGAACCCGCGCAAGGCGGACGACCTTCTTCAGCTTCTCCTTCCGGAACACTTCCCTGCTGAAGGTATCTAGCCGGGGATTGGCCACTCTGGCCACCTTTTTACCTAATGAAAACAAACCCTGTTCTAAATAACTGAGCCCGAAGCTTTTTATTTCTGCTCCCTTCGCAGAAAACATACTTTAACTCCTGACCTGAACACATGGCATCCCAAATGTCCTACCTTGGATTTCCTGCACCTCAATGACACCAGGTGAGAAGCATCGGCTCAGCTCCTCTGCTGCATCCCCTTCCACGGGCTCAAGCAGGGTGATGTCTGGCAGGAGCCTGTAACTGGCTGTTGCCACAGGTGAAAACTTGGCATGATCTTTTCCTGGAGGGTAGATATCAGAGACTGTGGGGAAACCCTTCTTGACGTTCAAAAAGCCCCTAATGGCAGAGGCCCACTGGCTTTCTGCCTGTTAGGACATCTCACCTCAGCCCCTTAGTCACACCCTGCCCCCCGCTGTCCTCAAACTACCCTCCTGCCCTGGGCAACCCACAGGTTTCTTACCAATGCCCTTGACACAGTGCATGAGTAGGTCAATCTCCTGGCCAGGCCTCAGCTGAGCAATGAGGATATCATCATGCACGGGTCTGATCGTGCCCTCTGGAAAGAGGTCAGCCTGATTCCCCAGGGGCACCCATGTCATGTGCCTGGAGTACACTGGAGAAAGCACATCAGGAAAACCTCAGTCCTTAAAACTAGCACCCATCAAGAGGTGGGCCTTCCTACTCACCATACCACCACTCACCTTTGTGGTTCACATAGAGTTCATTGGGGTCAGAGGAATCTTTAGCAGCATGGGGGTTCCGTGTGCACCTGACTTGAAGCCGAAACTGCAGAGTATCTATCTCTGTGCCTTCATCATCCCCTGAACAAAGGATGAAAGTGGCAGCTCTTAAAGAACGACTGAGTATTTGAGTGCATTAATCTACACTTCTCATTTACTCCTTGGACAAATTTCCAATTTCAGAAGACCAGGGCAAGTGTTCACACAGATCAGAACTGATGTACCAAAACATTAGTGATTTGCTCATGGTCACAGTAATCAAGCCGGGATTTGAACATAGGCAGTAGATCCTCTAGAATCTACTTTAGGAGACAGCTGTTCCCATTTTGCCACAATTCCGTTTTCTCAAGCGCTGACCTTGGTTCCGATACTCAAAAAGACGAGGATCAGCATGAATGGGAATAAGCCCCAAGCGATGAGCAAGGATCTCATCCTGGACAATGGATGTGTTGTTGTACACCAGGACCTTTTCCACAGCCATGGTTGGCACCTGCCCAAAAAATAAAATCATTCACCTACAGAGACCCTACAGACTCCCTATTTACTCCTACTTCCTGACACAGGGGGCCCTATTCCCAGAAAAACGCCTGATGAAAAGTTCAGGAGGAATGCTCAGGAAAATGAAAGGAGCAACCTAAGAATTCTCCAAGTAAGGTGATGGCTCAGTTTCCACCCAACTCCGTCCCTGCCACCATGCCCACCAATAAATACCTCAGCTAATAAAATGCGTCGAAAAGCATTGGCAATGGCTGCATCAATTCCCACCATGTCGAACTCCAATGAGTTTTCATCCATGTGCACTACGTCCACACGGAAATTCTACAGGGGCAGAAAATGCACTAAATGAAGCCTTGGCCTCTGTGGAATCAATACCGTCCCTCTGGATATCCCCCAGCCCCAGCAACAATATTCTCACTTACCCAAGAACCTCCCTTTGGCCAGATGTACCTCATAGCTGTTCCCTTCTCCCCCAATTCTTCATTAGCTTCTTGAAAAGTTCCCATTTTTATCCTCTATTCATTTAAATCCTCCAACCAGACCACCCACAGAGACCATTCTACTATATAACAGGCTTCCAAACCATGCTATTCTGTCCTTTCTTACTAGACTCCTCCATTGGGCATTGATAGAAGTCCTCCATTTTCCAACTCTGCTTTGGTTTCTGAGCACCAATCTTCTGGTTCTTTCTCCTCCGATGAATCCTAAATTCACTATCTCCTACCCACTCCATAAAGTCACTATTTTCTATTTTCTGGATTTTTATCTCTCTCCAAAGTGACCTCAATCACGCTCATGGGTTTAACAACTATATATACAGAAAACTCCCAAATTCTCACTTCTCATCTCCTTTCAAACACACATTTTACTGGCCTGCTAGACCTCACATTCAGGAAACAATGCAGCATCATTCCCCTTCCCCAGACCTATTTTTCATCAGTAAATGGCACCACCATCCATTAAAGCAGTTCCTCAAGCTAGGTTATTTTATACTCCCTCCTCACAGCCCACATCAAAACAGTCACCAAATTTACCATGTCTCCTTTTTGCTCTACTTTCCTGATTATCATTTTAGTTCATACCTTCAACCTCAGCTCCTCTATGCAATTCTGTCACAAATCTGAGTACCCTCTATGATCTTTCCCAACAGTTAAGGATGCAAATCAGATCACATCTGGCTCAGAGCTCTTCAAAACTTCCCCTATCACCTACAGTGTCTAAGATGCACTTCAATCTTGCCTAGCACTCATGCTGCCCGACTTTACATTCTAGCAATAATAAACTGGACATTCTTGGAACACAGTTCACAAAGCCTTTATAATTTAGCTTCTAGTCTTCGTCCCCCCACCTTCACCCTTACCCTTTCTCAGATTTTACTCATCGTTCAGGGCTCAATTCAGAGGTCATCTCCTGCAGGAAGGAAATCTTCCACACCGCTGCCCCGCTTTCCGTTCCAGATTAAGTGCCACTCAGGGGTCACCCTAGTCACGACTGTCCTTTCTTATCGCTACCAACCGCCTTTACATCATACTGGAGTCATTTATGCGTGCTCTTCAACAAGATTAAACACCTTGTTCGACGAACAGGGCACAGACCATGTACACGGAGGGCCTAGCATATTGCTCAATAAACGTTTTATGAACGCAGCGAATCCCACGGGCAGTTTCCAAAGCACAGGCCGCTCAGATCACACGATCCGTTCCCAATACCCTCTCCAGCCCCACCTACCTTCTCGAAGCGGTCTTGGTCCCAGGCATCATCATAGCCGGAATAGTTACCGGGAAAGTCGGTGGTATGAACCTAGACCAAAGAGAGACGAGTCTGCGAAGGGGCAGGTAGGGCAAACCCGCCCCAACTCCGATCCCAACTCATCCCTCCTGTTCCACTCTCATTTCTCTTGCCGAGTTCAAGGCCACAGGCTTACATTGCGAACCCCGAACTCCCCTAGAACCACGCGGGTCCGCATTTCTTGCACCGCCTGGGCGGCCGCCATCTTCCACCCCTCCACGTGACTAGGGCAGCAAACTGGCGCGTGCGTCCCAGTTGTCCTCCTTCGTCTCCATGGCAACGCACCGCCTCCCGGGATGTTAAATATCGCGAGATTCTGTGCAGCCTCCGTCCACGTCCCCAGCTTCCGGAAGTTTGGGCCAAACATCCGGGTTTCTCCTTTTTGCGTTCCGGCTGAACCCGCCGCTCTTTTTCGCCCCTAGACATCCCCCTCCCTCAGGCCCACGTCTCTCCCACTCCTCCTCCGCGCGCGGGACTAGCGCGGGCTTCAGCGACGGGAGCCCTCGAGGGACATGGCAACTACGGCGGCGCCGGCTGGCGGCGCCCGAAGCGGGGCCGGCCCGGAATGGGGAGGGTTCGAAGAAAACATCCAGGTAATCGCCCCAAGGCTCCGGCTGCCAGCAGCCACAGGGCTGGCAGCCGTCCTGAAGCGTCGCGGGGACTCTCCCTGGGAGCTTGGAAGTCTGCTCCATTTGCAACACTTGTCCTCTCCTTTGGCTCTTGGTGTACACGGAAGGTAGTGGGACTGGTGCTGACCTGAAAGGTCCAGACGGGTGCTCCAGCCAGAGGGCCTCGTGCCTCTGGGCCTGCCTGCTCTTGCTTTCGAGACAAGTTTGTTGGTCGATCGGGGCCAGGCATGGCGAGGGAGTGGGCGGTATTCCCCGGCGCTGGCTAAAACCATGCTGTGTGCACAGCCTTGTTTGGGGATTGGAAAAGACAAAACGGGCACTTTTGCAGCCCTCTGAGGATTTGATAGGGAAGGTAGAAGAAAGACATACATGCAAGACAGGGGGTAGGTTTCCCAGGCTAGAACAGAGAGCCAGACAACCAAGGATTCTGAGAGCAGATGAGGGGAAGAGAGTGGTAGGATCTATGGTGATTCCAAGCCATATCCCCAGCAGTGGAAGAGCAAAGTCCCAAATCCTGGGAGGAACGGAGGAGGACCCGTGGATGGAACAGAAAGGGCCTGCACTCTAGAAGCCATTATCTTCACAGGGTGGGGGCTCAGCTGTGATTGACATGGAGAACATGGATGATACCTCAGGCTCCAGCTTTGAGGATATGGGTGAACTGCATCAGCGCCTGCGTGAAGAAGAAGTAGATGCTGATGCAGCTGCTGCTGAAGAAGAGGATGGGGAGTTCCTGGGCCTGAAGGGCTTTAAGGGACAGCTGAGCCGGCAAGTGGCAGATCAGGTAAGCAGGATTCGATCCCTAGCAAGTGGAAAAGTATACTTAGGAGGGCCCCCAAGTGCTGGAGTTGATGTTAAAGTTCACCCCCATGTCGCCTAACCCATTAGAACTGTGTAGAAGGCCAATAGAAAGTGAGCGACAGGGACTATGGCCAAGAATCACTCACAGTACCTACCCACTCCACTCCGTCTTCCTTACTGCAGATGTGGCAGGCAGGGAAGAGACAAGCCTCCAGGGCCTTCAGCTTGTATGCCAACATCGACATCCTGAGACCCTATTTCGATGTGGAGCCAGCCCAGGTGCGAAGCAGGTGAGGCTCCTTCTCGTATCTAGTCCTTCATCCAAACTACAACCAGATACCCAGCCCTCATCACTGCACCTGTACTCCAGCTACACCATACCTCTTACCAGTCACAGAACAGGACATAGTGATAACACAGTGCCTTCCTCCTCTTCTTCATCCAGCAAACTATTCTTCTCTCAACAGCCAGCTCAAATGTTGCCTCCTCTTCCCTATTCCTCAACCCCATCCCCACTTTGTCCTCTGCTGGTGATCCTAGAGAACTCTGTGCTTTCCTTTAACAGATAAGACCTCAGCAGTGCTATGCTTTTTTATTCCTGGGGCTGGCTCCCCAGAGACCGCCTCAAAAACAAGCTCTGTTTTATTTTTATTTTTTTTTTATTCCCAGCCCCGGAACAGTCTCTGAGCGAGAATATCGGTACAGAGTTGTTGAATGACTTTTCAAGAAGTGGATCTAATTTTGGCTTGGTTCTTTGTCCTTTAACTTAAGCAGTGCCCATCAGACACCCAGTACCACTTAGCAGCTATCATTGAGCATTTGCTCTGTGCTGGGCACTGTAATGGTTTTGTCTCACTGAAGACAGAGGGTGAAGATAAGATGGGAGCCTTGCCCTCAAGTGCAATTACAATACACCACTCATTCGCTATGTTGGGACACACAGGAAGGACACCTGACCCAGAGGAGGCTAGAGGGTGGAACAGGGCAGGTTTCCCAAAAGAAATAGGATCCAACCAAAATTCAAGGTATTATTAGGAACTGGCCACTTAATTCTTGAAAGTAGGGAGAAGTGAGTTTTCATCCCACATCAAAGATGTTTTTCAAGAAAATGCTCAGCGGTGCTCTGAGGAATGGTAAGCAGAAAGAGGCAGGAGACATACTGCCTTCAGTAAAACTTTCCTTTTAAACTTTCCAGGGCTTCACCATCACAGCCCTGAATTCTGGGCATTCTCTGCTGAGGTTGGCCTTTTAAAGGGGAGCAGGTCAAATAGGTAAATTGTCAAGCCCTCTGTCAAGGCCCAGGTGCACTCTCCGAGGTCTCCATATTGCTGCTGTGTGTGCACTCTCCGAGGTCTCCATATTGCTGCTGTGTGTCAGCAGGGTATCAGAAGCCTGTCCTTCCTGGACGCATTTTTAGCGACAAGGAAATTGTTTTCTCATTCCTTGTCTGTCTTTACTCTCTTCTCCTTTACCATCTAGCATGTTCTCTGGAGTTAGAGATGAATAAGATTCAGACCCTCCAGAACCTCATAGCCTAGTGCTGCCTTGGCTCTCATCTCTCCTCTCCTCTCCCAGGCTCCTGGAGTCCATGATCCCTGTCAAGATGGTCAGCTTCCCCCAGGTGAATACCCAAGGTAGCATGTTTGGAGGAGCTGGGGGAGGCATGAGGGCAGAGGGTGGGGCCACCAGGCAAATCCCAGGAAGACACAAACAAGAGCCATTGAACCCTCCAGCCTGAGTGAGTTGCTATGTTGACAGAAAATTGCAGGTGAACTCTATGGACCTCTCATGCTGGTCTTCACGCTGGTTGCCATCCTCCTCCATGGGATGAAGACATCTGACACCATTATCGTAAGCAGGACAAAGGACTTTGGGGGGTGGCTGACCTAAGTCGAAAGCTACCCAAGGAGAGGTTGGTGGAGTGAGGTAGAAGCAGCCCGAGGAAAGCCCTGGGTGAGGCTGAGACTAGAGGCCTCCCAGGACTAAGCAGAGCCTTCACCCCACAGCGGGAGGGCACCCTGATGGGCACAGCCATTGGCACCTGCTTCGGCTACTGGCTGGGTGTCTCGTCCTTCATTTACTTCCTCGCCTACCTGTGCAACGCCCAGATCACCATGCTCCAGATGCTGGCACTGCTGGTAAGGAGTCCAGCATGGTGGTGGGCAAGGGTAGTCTTTAAAAAGAATAGCTAGGCCTCAGTCTGCCTCTGTCTTGGGGCCGCAGGGGCTGGAATGGGATGAGCTGGCCAGCAGATCATTTCTTTCTCAGGGTCCTTGTGAGAGATCAAAGGTCAGCCCAGCCTGAGCGATTTTCCTCTCCGCCGTTTTGTTTCCTAGGGCTACGGCCTCTTTGGGCACTGCATTGTCCTGTTCATCACCTATAATATCCACCTCCATGCCCTCTTCTACCTCTTCTGGTTGCTGGTGGGTGGGCTTTCAACCCTCCGCATGGTAAGCTGGGCAAAAGGCTGCCAGGGGTGGGCTGACCTCCCAGAGAGTTCGGGAACACAGGCCGGAGCTTGGGCTGGGCTAAACCCCACAAAGGGCTCTGAATGGGTGGGAAGAGCCCAAAGGTGATTCTCCTGTGGGTAGGACTGTCTTCTCCACGCTGCATCTAGGTCCTCTGAGCTGTACCCCTGTGGCCCTAGGTGGCAGTGCTGGTGTCCAGGACTGTGGGCCCCACTCAGCGGCTGCTTCTCTGTGGCACCCTGGCTGCTCTGCACATGCTCTTCCTGCTGTATCTGCATTTTGCCTACCACAAGGTGGTGGAGGGTGAGTGACAGGAGGGCCTGGGCTTCAGGGGAAGGGAACAGCCTCCCTGGGCAGGGCCCAGCCAACTCTTGCTCACCTTCTGTCCTCCTCCTTTCAGGGATCCTGGACACTTTGGAGGGCCCCAACATCCCACCCATGCAGAGGGTCCCCAGAGACATCCCCGCTGCACTCCCTGCTGCTAGGCTCTCTGCCACCGTACTCAACGCCACAGCCAAGGCTGTCGCGGTGACCCTGCAATCACACTGACCCCACCTGAGACCCTTGGCTGGCCCCCATCCCCCCATCTGCGGAGCAGAGGAAGATTAAAGAACAGTACTGATGACGTGTGTCTCTTTGATGGGGTCTGCAGCTGCCTCAGAGCTGTAGCCACTTAAGCCAACTCCTTGACGCCTGTGGGCCTTCTGAAGGGCACAAGGCCAGGAAGGCCTGGCCGGGACTGCAGGGCTCTGCAGCCAGTGCAGAAAGTGGCTCAGCTCCTCTGAGGCCCTCACTCCACCTACTCCTTCCTTCCGCTTTATCTCTCCCCTTGTCTTGCTAAATATAGACTTGGTAATTAAAATACTGATTGAAGTTTGGAACTGCAGCTGCCATTCTAGTGGTACTCCCTGCCACCCTACCTCCTGCACACTTTCCTGTTCTCTCACTGGTGATAATGTCACATGTTCTCTTCTTGATACCCTCATCCAGCCAGGATGAAGGTGGGACAGCCCAGACTACCACTGAAAGCAGTGACTGAATATGGAACCTGCCCCTGAAGGCAGGGGACACCCTCGGAGCAGCAGGGAGGCCTCAAGCACAGGAACCATAAGTCTGATGGAGGAGAGCACCCAGCTTGAGCGGGCTCGTCCTCACTCTTGGGACACCAATGAAACAATGACAAATGACAACCGCTTAAAAACTTCCAGATTCAACCCTGTGTCATTACAAGGCCCTTGCGCCCCTGGGGTGTTGCATTAGGGATAACTTTCCTGACAGAGGACACCTTTGAAGTTAAACCTGACTGTGTCCTGGTAATACTGGGGCCAGAGGAACAAAGCCATCACTAGGAGTTTTCTCTGTCCTCCTTGAAGAGTGCTGTTCACTCTTCAAAACCGCCACCACCGCGAGCATAGCACCATCCATCCCTGTGTGCATCTAACCTGTTCCACTTAAGGAGTTTAAGTCAGGTGGTTGATGAAATAGAATTTTTGTCCTCCCTTCACTAGGCTTACATTCTTTTTTTTTAATGGTTACCCTAGTAAATGTGGGTGGGCATCTCTTCCTCCTAGCAACGGGCCTAAGGAAGACGTGCCCTCCATTTGTCCTGTGTGACCCGATATTATGTGAGGACCCCACACCATCACCAGTGGACAAAGTGCAAACAGCACTACCCACACCACGCGGCGGACCCTTCCCGAAAGTTCCAGCCCACCTAACCCAGCTGCCAGCCACCAAGGCAGGTGGCTGAACCTAGCACCCCCTTTAAAATTGGGCTACGCAGTGCCTCGGGACATCCGCCGCCTGCACCCTGCACCTCCGTGCAGCTCACCTGTCGGAGGAACCCGCAGCCCCGACCCCCGCCGCCCCGGGCCCGGGGGCCTCCGCTGCGGGGCCGCCATCTTGGCGAGGGGCGCGCGGGGGAGTCCTCCCGGGCTGGGTGTCCCCGCCCCACTCCCGCCTGTCGTCTCGGGGGCGGGCCCTCCAAGCAGGGCGGCCGGGCGTGCACGAGGGTCTGGCCCCGAGGCGGAGGGGCAGAAGCAGCTGGGGACAGGCTCGCAGGCCATCGCCACGTGACGCGCCTCCACCCTCCCCGCCACGCCCCTGCTCGTCCCGGCCTCAGCCCACGCCCAGCCCCGGCGCTCCCAGACCCGGGGGGCGCGGAGCCCGGCCGCGTGGCCTAGGCCGGGCAGGGGGCGGGGCGAGCGGCGGTGACGCGGCCGTTGCCATGGGAACCCGCCGCCCGCTCAGGCGCAGGAGCCCCAGCTGGAGCCGGAGCCGGAGCCGGAGCTGCCGCCCGCCCGCCCGCCCGCCTCGGGCTCTCCCTGCGGGGCTGTAGGGGAGCCGGGCTGGAGGAAGGGAGGGCGCAGATGCGGCCCTCGAGCCAAGACCCGTCCCGCACGTCCTGAGCCGAGGCCACGCAGCCGCCGCCGCGACCGCGAGAAACGAGGACAAGCACGAAGCAGCGCCCGCCCGGCCCCCGGCCCCCGGCCCCCGGCCCCCGGCCCCCGGCCCGCGCGCCTCGGCCCGTCGCCCAGACACGGACGGCACGGTCCGCCCCGGCCCCCGCGCCTCGCGGTCTCAGCCCGGCCCCCGACCTCCGCGCCTCCGCAACGCCCGCCGCCTGCGGCCCGGCCCCCGCCGCTCCCCGCCTTCGCCGCCTTCGCCGCCGCCGCCGCCGCCGCCGCCTTCGCCGCCGCCGCCGCCTTCGCCGCCGCCGCCCGCGCCTCTGCCCCCGCCTCTGCCCCCGCCTCTGCCCCCGCTCCGCCCGCGCCCCCAGCCCAGGCCCCGGCCCCGGCCCCGGCCCCGCCCCCGGCCCCGCCAACCTCGGCCGCGGCCCGCGCCCCGGCCCCGGAGGCCCGGCCGTGGGTACCATGCTGCCCAGCTCCATCCAGATTTCGGGGGAGCCGCTGTCAGGCGCCGAGGTGCGGGACATCTGCCGCGGCCTGCGCGACAACGCCGTGCGCCTGCTCTCGCTGCGCGGCTGCCGCCTCTGCGACCGCGACTTCGGCCGCATCTGCCGGGCGCTGGCCGGGGCCACGTCCCTGGCGCAGCTCAACCTTAACCTGGGCGTCGTGTCCAGTCCCAGCCGCATCAAGCAGCTGGCGGAGGCGCTGCGGACCAACCGCTCCATCCAGTCCCTCTTGTGAGTGCGCGCCTTCGCAAGGGGGCCCCGGGACTTGGAGGGCCCTCTTCACACGCCCCCTGCCACTGCCTGCTCCTGCACAGCCTTCCTGTAGCCGTCTCTGCACCAGCCTGCCTTCCCCCTCCTGGCCACTGCCTCATCCCTCTCCCCGAGCCCGTCCACGACACCCTCCGAGCGCATCCCTCACCTCCCGACTTTACACCTGCAGCCCCACCCCAAATGAGATGGGATGCCCACCCCCCTCCTGGCAGGGCACGTGTCCCTCGCCACCTAACCGCTGGCACTGACTACTTGGGGACCGGCCCTCGGGCCTCAAGAAGGAACTCTCCTGGGGCCTAGACCCCTGCCCCTACATTCTGCCCGCTGAAGAGTCTCAGTCCACCTCCCACACACCCTTTCTCTGCTCTGTCCTGGATCCTAATCCCAGCCCCAGAAAAGAAACCAGACTCTTCTACCTGTACTCCTTTAGAATCTAGAATTTTCTTTCTTCCTTCCCAAGGCTTCTCCCAAGTGCTGGGACAAGGGCCCTGCTCACCCTAGTGCTCACATAAGGGAAGGGGCTCCATCCCCTACAGATAACGCTGGTGACCGCAGTAACCTCTGCTCTCTGGTCTCGCCCGCCAGCCTGCATGGGAGCCCCCTAACAGATGCGGGGCTGGCCTTGCTGAACCCAGCCCTGGCCCTCCACCCTGCCCTTGTGGCTCTGGACCTGGGGGACTGCATGCTGGGTGATGAAGCCATCAACCTCATCTGTGGCCTCCTGCCCCCAGATGGAGCCAAGTCAGGTGAGCAAGGGGGCCCCGCTGAGGGTACGGGCTAGTGGTCTTGATGAAAAAGCTAGGTGCGGAGGGCAGGGGCCTGTGTACCCAGAGCTGAGGGCTCTGACTGGGGATGAGAATGTTTTTCAATCCTCTCAGGAAGGAGAAGGATTGGGGGCTAAGCAGAATGGAGACTCACACATCCAGGCTGTGGTGGGCAGGAAAGGCAGGGGTCTCTAATGGTCCCTAAGCTCTATCTATGGTGGGACAGGGTGTCTCTCAGCTACCAGGGACTCCCCAGCGATCCAGGGCAGGGGAGGGGCTTGAAGAGGGCTCCACCTCCATCCTGGCTTCTCGCTTCGATGCTGCCCAGGCTTGAAGGAGCTAACGCTGAGTGCCAACCCTGGCATCACCCCCAAGGGCTGGAGCCGCCTCGCGATTGCCGTGGCCCACAGCTCCCAGGTCCGCGTCCTCAATCTGGACTACAACCCTTTGGGTGAGGCTCAAGGAAGCCCCCTGTGAGTCTCACCGTCCCAGCCCCATCCAAGAACTTGGGACCATTGTTCGCCATGGTAACCTCCCCCCCCTCACCGGGGGAGGGAAAAAGGAGGGGGAACCTGGGAGGCAGTAGAGAAGCCACTTGTTTGGAGGACCAAATGACCAAAAGGTACATCAAAGTACCCGTCACCCCTCTGGGCCTGGTTTGCTTCACCCGTTCACTCACCATTCACCGTGGCCCCTTTGAACACCTGCCAGGTATCAGCATGTGCTGGCTTGCGGGTGGGGTTCGAGGTTGTTAGGGCACAGGGGAGGCTGTGGGGAGGGTCAGCGGGCCTGCTCATGACTGCGGGTGACCGTGTGCATGGGTGCCGCCTCCCCAGGTGACCACGTGGCAGGGATGCTGGCTGTAGCTGTGGCCTCCAGCCGCACCCTAGAGGTCCTAGACTTGGAGGGCACGGGGCTTACCAACCAGTCAGCTCAGGTGAGAAGCCTTCACATTTGTGGACGGGCTAGAGGTGGGGGTGCAGGTGAGCCGGTGTGCCTGTGGACATACCAGGGGGGTGGGGGGCGCAGGTTGGGATCTGGGGAGTTGCCCTAACGGTTCATCCTCTTCCGCCTCAGACCCTGCTGGACATGGTAGAAAACTACCCCACGGCTTTGCGGAGCCTGGTGTTGGCTGAGAACAGCATTAGCCCAGAGCTGCAACAGCAGATCTGTGACCTCCTGTCGGAGGGAGAGGAGGAGGAAGAGGTGGCGGGAGGGGCTGGTGACACCCAGGAACGAGAGAGGGGGCGGGAGCCTGCTGCCCACCAGAGGAGCAGCGGCTCTTGGATGTGCCCCAGTGGTAAGAGCCCCGGGGCTGATCGGAACCGGGTCCCCAAGAGGCATGGGACCAGGGATGGTGGGTGTGGACACCTAGGCCCCCTCTCACCTCTGTGTCCCTGCCTCTCTGCCCCTCCACAGATCCCAGCTCTCAGATGGTGCTCATGACTTCAGGACTAGGTGACAGTCTGTTGGCTGAGACCGAGATGTGACCCTCCACTTGGGCTCCTACACATCATTACATTTTGTCTATGTCCCCAGCACTTTGCCCGGATATCAGGGTCAGGCCCTGGGGCCTGGGATGGGAATGCGGGGGGGGGGGGGGTGTGCCTGGGGCTCTGGTAGCTCCAGGCAGTGATGGGAAGCTCTGGAAGCTAAGCAACAGCCTTGGGGGCACTTGAACCCAAGGCAAAGCCTCTGGACTTGTTAGCAGCTCTGGCTGCAACCCGCTGGCTCGGAAGAGATTTTATGACCTCTACAACCTGGCGTGTGGCTGTGCTCACTGGGGGCTGGCAGCAGGGTAGGAATCGGAACTGTTAGACACTAGGGGGCAGTGCCACCTCACAGCCCAAGCTCCAGGCAGCTTCCACTGGCCCCAAAGGTCTTGAATAGGTCTAGCTCAGGGCTCCAAATTGTAGGACCTGGGATTCTGGGGTGATGACCCCCTACACAGGCCCCCAGAAGGATCATAGATAGCTAAGGTAAAGAGCCCAGCTCCGGAGCTGGGCTGGATCCTACCTCAAGGAGGCTCAGGGGACCCTGCTGAGGTTACTTAAGGTGCACTTCTCCCACTGCCTGATGCTCTGTGGCCACAGACACCCCAGGAAGAGCGGGGCAGGGGACACTCACTAGCGAAGACCAGAACTCGGCTAGGACTGGGAATGCTCAAGAATGGGGAGAAGACTGCACAAGGAAAATCATTAAGAGACAAATTAGGCCATGTCAGTAAAATAGTTTTAATTTTAAAATAGTCATCGATGTGAAAACGTCCCAAAGCTGGGAGTAACAGTCTAGAGCCAAGGTTGGGAGGGGGCCAGGCCTCACCCAGAGCCCAGCTTGAGGCCCTTGAGGCCCTCCCTCTCCTCCCTTCCAGAGGGAGGATGGACACAGCGGAGGCGAGCCCTGAGTGAGTCCTCTCCCTCATCCCCCAAGGGCCCCTTGAAGGCAACAGCTCGTACAGAGGACTTGAGGGGAGGAAAGCAGGCAGAAAATAGAAATTAGAGGTTAATAATCCCAACGACATCTCCCTCCCACCCCTGGAAAAACAAAGAAACAAGAAAACAGTCTGTGGGTATGAAAGGGGGATGGAGGATAAACACTGATGTAACAGACCCCTCAGGGTCCCAACAGCCCAATTTGGGCTGACGAAGGGTCTTGAGCCCCAGCTGCATGTTACCTTTGGGGAGTAAATATTCCAAGAAGAAAAAGGGGAAAGCCATGAGGCAAGCTGGTACCAGTCAGTGGACGCAGTTAAAGGCCCGGGGTAGCCGCCACCTGACCCTCCCTGCAGAGGGGCAGACAGCAGTGCAGGCCTGAGGGGGGAGTGCTGGGGTGGGGCCTCCAGGGGGCCCCATGCAGCAGTGGCAGGAAGGCAACAGGGGCCCTAGTTGAGCAGGTTGCCCTGCTCCTGGGCCTGGGTCAGGCTGTCCTTGCGGTGCAGGTGGTGCACCCCCATCCTCTTGGGGCTGCGCTGGGGGCGGCTGGAGCTGGGGAGTGCCCAGGCCCTGCCCGAAGCCTGAGAAGGGACTGAGCCCTCCTCGGCGCCACTGTCACTGGGCAGCAGACTCTGGCATTCTTCCTCAGGGCTGATGGGCAGGTTCAGCTCTTCTTCCTCCCTGGGAAGGCCAGAGTCCGCTTCCATTGGCAGCAAAAGCCCACTCTCACCAGGTGGGGAAGGTGCCAAAACCTCCTCGTCTCTGTCAGTGGGGCTAAGAGCAAAGTGGCGCTGCAGGTCAGGGAGTGCGTCCCGTCCAAAGGCTGTGCGCTGGGCCACGGCAGCTGGAGGTGGAGTGCGGTCCACAAATGCCCGCTGCCAGCTAGCTAGCAGGTCCTCCTCAGAGCTGGCAGGGGCGTGGAGTGCTGGGGGGAGGGGGCTGGGTTCACGGTGGGGCGAGGCCTGGGCTGAGGCAGGGCTGCTGGGCACTGGGCTGGGGCGGGCCCGCTCACTTCCCTCCTCCACCAGGCTCAAGGAAATAGCCTGGCGGGTAGCGTACGTGCAGTTGGGCAGGGGGCTGTTGCGGGGGATTCGCACCTTATCCTCAGAGAACTCTATTACCTTGCGGCCAGGATATAGCGGGTGTGGTGGAGATGGGGTGGGGTAGGGGCTCAGCTTCTCAAAGGCTGGCAGGGCTAACTCCTCCTCTGGGGAAGCCCCAGAAGTGCCCAGAGAGCGGCATTCTCCATTGGGTTGTGGGGTGGGGCTGCCCAGGGCTGGGGGACCAGCTGAGTCACCAGAGCCACCCCCACTCATGTCCACGTGCACAAAGACATCCTCGGCCAAGGGGCGCCCGGCACTGCCCGACTGGGCTGAATTGAGCAGGAGAGACTCTGGCTTCTCTAACACACGGGCAATGACCGACGTGGGTACCACAGCCCCCGGTGCCAGGCTAGCAGCGGGGCCTAGGCTGGCGGCTTCTTGACCACTGTGCAGATGTTTCCGAACCATGTCCTGTAGCTCACAGGGTAGCTGGGGTAAAAGTGGGAGAAGGGAAGAGGGATATGAGTACTCCCGACCTCAGAAATAATGGCTACCACACACAAGCAGCAACGTGTGCCCAGCACTGCGCGTTGGTCTCACTCCATGCCAGGGGATAGCCTCGTTTCACGAACTGAGGCTCAGCAGGGGTGAAACAACTTGGAAGATTCTGAGGAACACAGCCAGCATTTGCTCCCAGAGCACTAAGGCCCAGGCCCTCTCAAACTCCCATCTCCACCCCCATCTCAGCAGTGGCTTCTGCCCAAACCAAACAGAAATGTGAGGATCCGTACTGGCCAGCAGCTTCGGGAGGCCCTCTCTGCTCCTACAGACCCCACTAGCTTTGGGCCTGAGGCTAGAGTTTGCCTGCCGAGGTGAGGAGGCCGTCAGGTGGGCCTAATCCCCTCTCCATATTCTTAGGGCCGACTGCCACCCCCACCTTCCTGCATGGGATCCCAAAATTGAGTGCCTCTCTCCCTTCCTGTTCCAGAAATACCAGCCCTGGTGACAGTGGCAGAGTTGACGGACTTGAGAGGAGACATGCATGCAAGAGAAAGGCAAAGCAGAAAGGGGGAGTTAAGGCAGGAGGACAGAGTGAGGTATAAAAACCCGAGTTAGAGGTGTCCTAAGGAGGCAGGGCTAGCATCGCAGGGAGGGTGTTCTGCTCACATCAGCGAACTTGTGGTTGCGGAAGTGGGACTTGTTGCACTTGAGGAGCTGCACAGCCAGGTTGCAGTCCAGCCGGTACCGCTCCTGCACACAGAGGCGAGGGTCACCAGTCACCCCCTCACTCACCCTGGCAGCAGGGCCAGGCCAGGGCACAGCCAGCAGCAGGCACGGGCCCCCCCATGGCACACGTACATTGAGCTCCTCCAGCTTGTTGATGGTGTTCTTGGCGTCTAGCAGCTTATTGGTCAGCTCCACGATCTCCCAGTCCAGTGTCTTCCTATCCATCTCGGCCTTCTTAATCTGAGGCACAAAACTTGTGTGAACCTCACCCACACCCCAGCCGACCTTCCTCCCCTCCATTTCCTCCCAGCCCAGAGACACAGGAAGCCACGGGTGCTGGGGCAGCCTAGGCAGACAGAATAGACAGACAATGGACAGACAGAAGGAGGCCAGCCACCTCTCCTGTTTTCTGGGCTGGCGGTGGGGTAGGGGCTTTTCTGAACATGACCTGCCACCAGCTAAGACAGAGGCGGTACGAGAGCTGCCCACCCAGAGGCTCTACATAGCAGGCCAGGCAGCTGGACCTGAGGAGGAGTAAGTGTGCAAACCCAGGGGCTGAGGGCTTTGAGTGGAGTACTTTCCAGGCTCAAGCTAGAAGAGGGAGGAGGGGTGAGGCCAAGTGGTAGCTGAGGGAACCTGTGAGATCATCTAGTGGAACCAGAAAGGAGCAACAGGCTCATGGCTCTTCAGTTGAGGGACTGGGGCTCCCCTCCCCCTACTCGGCTTGGGCTTGTTGCCACCGCAGCTGAGAAGCTGTGAGTATTCAGCAGTGACATCAACCTGTACCTCTGCCTGAGCCGAGGGCAGGCTCTGCAACTGTGCCCTGGGAGGGAGGCACGTACCTAACGTGCCGTGCCTCATGTAAGGAAGAGGACAGCAGTGGGCAGAGGGAAAGGGCTGGGGCCCCAGCAGCCCCAGATCCCAGCTGAGGAGGAGGCCAGGGTAAGGGAGAAAACACAAACTCAGACGCAACTGCAAAGATCCAGCTGTGGCTAAGAGAGGCCTGACAGGAGAGGGCGGCAACGGCGGCAGCAGCGTGAGGGGAAGACAGGAGAGAAGAGAAACAGTGTGAGCACTAAGACAGTCCTGACTGTGTGGCACACTGCGGTCCCCTGCCCCCTCCCCAAGCCCCAGGGGTGCGGTGGCACTCCCCGGGCAAGCCCCCACCCCCTGCTACACTGGGAGCACAGTGCCAGCCCAACCGCCCCCCACCCCTGACAGATTACCAGAGTGTGCAGCTTGTCCTCCAGCTCCTGGTTGGTCCTCTGAGAGGCCGTGTAACTATTCTGAAGCCTGGGGAGGAACACCCAGCAGATCCCTGGGTCATGATCTGCTCGCCTGCCCCTCCTCAGCCCTATCTCAGCCCTCCCCAACCTTCCCCAACCCAGGTGCCACCTGGAGTGGGGTGCGGGGGGGGGGGGGTGCAGGTCATCCTCCTCCCAGAGCTTTCATTCCCCAATCAGAATCAGATGATCTCTGAGGCCCCTTCCGGCTAACCTCCTAGGAACAGGCGGATGTGTGCCTATGTAACTGGCCCCTTGTTTCCACACCTGCGGAACTTGTCCTTAAACTTGTCCAGCTCCTCGCGGCTCTGACCCAGCTCCAGCTCCAAGCAGTCCTGCCCAATCTCCAGCTCGCGCTCCAGGGCCTCAGTGCGTCTGGTGGCCGAGGCCAGGCGCCTGCGGAGCTCCTCATTCTCCTGTTGCAAAAGCCTGGGGGTGGGGGAGGATCAAGGGCAGAGGGGCATCAGAGTGAAGAGGGGCATCAGGCCAGGCTGGCCTCAGGAAGGAGGAGGGCATGACATGAGCACAAACACCTGGGGGGCAAGGGACTCCCTGAGAAGGAGCCCGAATCTGGGGCAGCAGATTCCATGAGCCTAACAGCCTAACTTGGTGGGGGTAGGGGTGGGGAAAGCAAAGGGGACAGGAGAATCCACCCCCACCCCCACCCCCCAAAAGAATGAGAAAACAACTGCTGTGGGGGGTAAGACTTCCCAGGCTGTCTCTGGTTACAGCCTAAAGCAGCCGGCCACCAGGCCCTCTAGCTCCTGTTTCCCCACTGCACAATCAGGCTGCTCCATTATTAATCTCTTGGAAATCCAGCCCAGCGCTGCCCTCCTCTCCAAAGGCCTCCTGTGGCTGACAGAAAGGGGCGCAGGGAGGCAGGCAGCACAGGAGGGCCAGAGCTGGGGAAGGGCTCTTTGACAAGGGCAGGCCTCTCAGAGCACCCACCTCCTTGGTTCCAGGTTCTCTTGGAGCCCATGGAACAAAAACTCTCTCCAGAAGGAATATCCACATCAAGCCTCCCCCCAGAGTCCCTAAATACCCCAACCCAACTTTTACTTCTACCTAATCCAATGAAAAGCCCAACTGTACCAACAGCCTTGCCTGGAGCTAAGAGGGAGTACTGAGGCAAGGTGGGGCAGGCTCTTGTCAGCAAATACTCACTTCATCCTCTCCGCATCAGTCAGGGGCTCCTGGGCATAAAAAGAACGGAAGCTTGAGGCTCAGCCCTAAACCGACCCCTGGCCCACCCTGCCTGCCCGCCCTCCAAAAAAGCCCTGGAAAGGGCCATGTCTGATGCCCAAACAATGTCATGGAAGTGGGCCCCGTAGAGATGGAGGCAATCCAGTAACGCCTGGACAAGCCTAGATTACTCTCCCATACCAACCAGAAGGTTCGAGAATCCCTTCTAACATTCACCTTTACCCACACCACTTCCAACCCTTCTCATAATTCTAGAGCAAGTTGCAAATGAGTTCTGGTACCCATGCTCCATCTCCCAGGGGTAAAGAAAGCCTCTCAGCTGTTCACTGGGCTCCTAGTGGGCCCTGTAGGCATGGCAGAGACTTCCAGAGAAGTGAAGTCATCAAGCAAGCTACAGTAGGGTTCTGAGCTCTAACAAAGCCCTCCTGGTCCCAGGAGGAAAGATGGGTCAGAATCAGGCCTTACAGAGCCTCAGAAGGAACAAGAACATGGATGAAGGAGAGCCTCTGGACTAGTCTGGACTGTGAGGAGTGACCTGTCTTAGCCTTGTCCTGCTGTGAACCTCCCACCCCATCCTGCTCAAGCCCCCACACTGGTCATGGTCCAAGAGCCACAAAGCAGGGAAATGTCAAGAGGCCCACTCCAAATGGAGCCAACTGCTTGAGAATGCCAATCACAGGCAGGAAAATGAGGTGGGTGGCCCAGACTAGGACTCTGGAACCAGTGACACCTGGATCTGCTCCCATCCTACCACACTCTGCTCATACTAACCTTGCTGAACCTTAGTGTCCTCATCTACAAAACCAAGGGAATGCCCCCCAGGGTGACACCAGCACAATACCTGGCCTTTTTATTGACTATTCAGTTCCCTGAACTGAAAATGGGCAAGTCACGGCATTCTGCCCTGAATTGGACCAAAGCAGGCCATGGTATGCCTGATGCTCAGCAGGCACAGAGGATCTCTCAATTTCTGTAAACGTGCAATGTGTGTGGCAACACAGTGGGAACACAGCAGCCAGGTCAACTACAACACTCGTTTCCTCCTGAGATGAAGCCGAATGGGGGAGGACAGCCAATTTGGAGAATCTTTTTTTTTTTTTTTTTTTTTTTGAGATTTCTATTTATTTATCTGACAGAGAGAACACAAGCGGGGAGAGTGGGAGAGGCAGAAGCAGGTGCTCCACTGAGCAGGGAGCCAGACTTGATGCTTGATCCCAGGACCCCAGGATCATGACCTGAGCCAAAGGCAGACACTTAACCAACTGAGCCACCCAAGCACCCCTGGAGAACCTTTCAGTTGCCTGAAAAAGACCTCCTAAGAACCTAACACAGTTCCTGGCAGGGAGCATGCACTTAATAAACATTAGCCCAAAATAAATAAATAAACAAACAAACAAACATTAGCCCAACAAGGCAAAGCTGGAGGAAGGGCTGGACTTCCAGGGACAGCAAAGAACAGTTGGCCTAGTAGGAAGAAGCACCACTTCCTCCACAGAATCCTGGGCTCCAGAATGAGGACCCCTCAGCCTGGTGGGCTGCCTCTTGCAGGAAGAACAATACTGCCTGGGGTCATTTCTATTGAGCCATGAAGACTCTGGGGTTCCCTGCCATAGGAATATGTGCTCACAGCTGTCCTATAAACCTACATTGGCCTGGCCAGCAGTGCTGCAGCCAGGAGATCCCAAGCATCTATGAGAATGCCAGCATCTGGCCCAGAAGTCCCCTCAGGTGAGAAGAGTCAGTCAGACACCCAGCCTCAGGGGCCTGCATCTGCCAGCCAGGGTTAAGAGTAGGGGTCTTCTGACCTCCTGCTCCAGCCGGGATCCTGGAACCTCCAGCCGCAACTCCCGATGCTCAGGTGGTGCCTTACGGTACGGTTTCTTAGCCGAGGCTGCACTGGTCATTCTGGGAGGTGAGAGCTCCTCAGCCTGCTGTGGGGACCAAGGAAGGAGGAGGTTCAGAGACATGGGCAAGAGGCCTTTGGCCTTAGGGAAAAAGGACAGTAAAAGGGACATACGTAGGAGCCACTGGGATGCACACAGGTCTGGGCCATTGCTGGCGTCATTAGACCTGGACCCTGGTGTATCAGCACTCACTGTCAGGGGAGTGTGGGAGGGGACAAGGGCCCAATGTGACCAGGTGGGTGGGAAAGGCAGGACCCATGGCCTGAGTACCAAGAAGAATGGACACAGCCTAGGAGTGGAACAAGGTATTTGAGAGCAGCCCACTGCTCGCCTTTGTGGGCTTACAAAAATGCCTCAGAGGGAAAAACTGTTCCATCTGCATCAGTTTCTTCAACTCCAAACTGGGGATGAGGAGAGCACCAATTTCATAGACCTACTGCGAAGATTACATAAGCCACTAACCTCAGTTACCTGGCACTGAGGAAATGTTCCATAAGCATGAGCTCAAGAAAAGCCCCACAATAAATAAACCAGTAAACAGAAAGTAAGGGTCTGAGGATGCTCCCTCAACCCAGGCTCCACGTGGGGAATGCCAAGCCTCCCTGGCCTCCACCACTCTCTTTTCATCAGCCCCCACCAAAAGGGGCCACCTGCCTGCCCCCTCACCTGCCAGCCTCTCTGGAAGGGAGCCAAGGCGGGGTGCAGGCCTCACAGGGACATACCATCTGACTGTCGGCAGCTCTCTCTGTTCCGCTGTCCTGGAGTTAGCCCTCGGCTCTCCGCATCCCAGAGCCCCTCCACTTCCTCTAGCCAATAGCTCCTGAAACCAGAGAAGGGAAGAAAGTGGAAACCAGGTTGTCAGCTGCGGGTCTGTCAGTGCCACAGGCCAGCCTACCCAGTCCAAGAAGTGGAAGGTCCCCCAGGGAGAGATAGGCAGAAAAGCCATGGAGCAGGGGATCTCGGGTAAGCAGTGGAGGCGGGAGAGGACAGAAAGCACTGGGCTCCTTTCTCCATGAAAGCACTGTCACAGGCCCAGAGAACACACGTGTGTCTTGTATGTGTTCATGGTCTCCACTTACCACATGCCTGATTCTGGAATAGGTCTGGTCTTGTCTTATCCCTATCCTACCCCACATCTGTCCTATTCATCACCCAGGCCTCTCAGAGTCTGGAAACTGAAAGATTTGGGGAACACAGCTTGCAGAAGAGAACACCAGAAAAAGGCCTAATAGAGACTGAGAAGATGCTGGGAGAGAATCCTAGCAATGTTTCCAGGAGCCAAAGAGGACTACTGTGTGTAATGGTTGTAAACCATCTGCAACGAGGAAGAGTAGGTCCAGGAGAGTAAAATCTGAAAAAGCAGCAGAGGAATGATTGAGCAATCTCAACAAGCTTGATTCTGTAGCCCCCATCTCCCTCACTTGCCCCCTTCCAGATACCTGCCCATGTATGAATGGCTGTTACAACAGTGGGAAGAGCTAGTGGTATCTAGTGGGTAGAGGCCGGGGACGCTGCTAAACATCCCATCACGCACAGGACAGCCCCCCCAACGATGAATTAGCAGCATACAATGTTGACTGCACCCAGGCTAAGAAAGCCTGAGTCTGGGGAGCTGAGACACTGGGCTCTAGGCTATGCTACTTCTGACACACTGTGTGGCCCAGGCTAAGTCCTGCACTGGTTACTCTTTGACACCGAGGTGGCTGGATTGAGTGACCTGCGAGATCCCCTGCAGGTTCTTGGGAGCACTGAGCTCTGCCCCCACCTGTAATAAGCTTGGCTGCAGCATGGGGGCAGCAGTCACCACAGGGACCAATGGAGGCAGTAACCTTAGGTGGCTTGGGCATAAACAATCCTGCCCCTGCTGCTGCTGCTGCCGCTGCTGCTGCCGCTGCCGCTGCCGCTGCCGCCGCCACCGGCGCCGCCGCCACCACCACCACCATCCTCCTAATAGAACTGGGGGCTGAGGGAAGCCTTGCGGGCTAAAGCATGTGTACCCGCTGTCGGGACATGCCCTAGCCACGACTCCTGTCACATTCCAACAGAGCCTGAGGCAGGAAGAATGGTGAGGGGGTAGGGAGGGTGGGGAAGCAGGAGTGGCCTCCCTCCTGTCTGGGCAGCCTGGTCTCTGGCTTGGAGTTCTGGGGGGAGCTGGGGCATGGCAGCAGGCACGAGCCGCCAACCTCCACCCCTTTGATGGTGAGGCGGACATGTCCCCACAGGGCACATGCAGCGTGCTGTGTAGAGCTGACTCCCTGCACAGGAATCCGGGCGGGCCCAAAAGGACAGCACATTCCTGGGGTGTGGGGGAGCAAACAAGTCACCCCCGCAGGTTCCCTGGGGCTACCCCTCCTGAGGCCCCCAGGGTGGGAGCTCCCATGGCCTGGGGGAGAGAAAGTCCCAGAAAGTCCCAAGCCAGCCTGGATAGCTGGATGCTGATACTCAGAGGCTGTAAGTACAGAGTATATGAGTTAGAAAAGGGGACAGCGAGAGACTCAAAGTAAGACACACAGGCAGTCAAGAACCGCTGCAAAACCCAGGGGTGCTCCCGAGTTGAGCCTGCTCCCTTCCCCAGGACAGCTGAATGGGTGGCAGGAGGGCGGGCAGAGAGCATACTGATGTGCTCAGGTATCAGGATCCTCCCTGGAAGGAGAGTGGCCTTCGCCCCATGCCCCGCAGCCCTAGCTCTACTTGTCACACATCCTGCCTCATCTTGATCTCAAGTCTCCACTCCCTGGCCTCACAGCACATACTCGCAGGGCTTTCCTGGCCAGAGAGCCTGGCCTGCTGAGGGGACAGTGTGGAAGTGGCTGGCAGGGAGACAGGGGAAGTACTACAAACACAGACGCTCCAGGATGAATGGTGCTGGCAATGGCAGGCAGTTATCTCTCCTGGCCAGAGTCTACTCTTTTCATATACATCAGAGCCACAAGGAGGGGAGCCACTCCCAACTGGGGAAGCAGAAGGTGGTGCCTACTAGGGAGAGTCTGCTAGGGAGCCTGCAATGTCAACACAAGCCCGTGAAGGGCAGTGAAGGGCAGTCCGTCTCACTCTACTCCCTGCCCCACATCCATAAATACTAGTACATGTTGAGGCCCTAGCTCCAACTCCTGAAATCTGCTAAGTGCCCTAGATCCAGCCCATGATGATGTGTATGGGGGGGGGGGGGCAGGTGGCACCCAATTCTAGCACTACATAGGAATGCAATGGGCCTGACAGGCCACTGTCCTTGACTGGAAGTTCAGCACGGAAGGACAGACCCTGGAGTGTGAGAGCAATGCCAGGTGCACTGGAGAACAAAGCAAGAAACAGCAGGATGCCAGGCCCACAGCCAGGAGAAGATAAAAGGTGAGCTGCAAGACAGCAGAGCAGTCCCACTGGGAAGACCTAGCCACCAGGTGCGGCCTCCACTGGCCATGTCTCCTTCACCCAGAGATTCCCACATTGCATTGGAGTGTTTCAGCCCAAGGGGACTCCCAACCCCATGTCAAGAAGAGGAAGTCCCCGGGGAAAAGCAGCTGGATAACTCAGAATGGGATATGGGCCATGATAAGCAAGCAAGCAGCCTTTGGGGTCTCTTGGCCTCTGGCTGCTGAGCTGGCTCCAGGGCACCTCCAAGAAAATGGTCTTTTGGGAGGTCTACAAATTGACAGAGAAGAATCCCAGACTCCCCAAGCTTCAAGGAACTGGGGCTTGAAGAGAGCTCAGGATGTGGTCATGTGCACTACCAGAACAGCTGTGCGCTGGGAGCCAAGGCTGAGGCCCAGGTGAAAACCTCTGGCTAACCCAGTCTGGTCCGGGGCCCTTCAGGCACTGCTGAAGGAGACACCCCAAAAGCAGTGAGAAGGGAAAGTGCTCTCCTCAAGGCCCCCACCCCACTGAGCCCCGCCTCCCGCCTCCCACTTCCTGCTCAGCATAGCATTCATTCCTCACTCACTCAAACTCAGTGAGGAGAGCCTCAGCCAGCTCTGCTGGGGTAGAGGGAGAGGGGGGTGAGAGCTTCCTAATTGCCATGTTGCAATCCGCCAGTCAGCGCAGGCCGCCTGTTGCCGCCTGCCTTGTATGAAATACCTTCCCCTGATTACAGCCCATGGGGCACGATTAGCTGCCTCCAGAGAACAAAGTCTACTTTCATTAGAAATGGGACTCAGCACGCACAGCAAACCTGCACCTTGAACCCACTGAACAGCTGAGCAGAGGATGGTCAGAGGCAGATATAAGGAAAAATGTGTGCTAGACATTGACTGGGCAGTCGCCTTTAATCAGAGGACCAAAAATTTGCCCAGCCTCCCTCTTTAACCAGGAGATTGGATTCACACCTGCTCTCTTCTGTGGCTAAAGCCCGGATGTGACCAGGGCCTTCCACCATGGTCAGGGGTTACCGTTGCTAGAGATGGAGCAGGGTGGTAAGGAGAAACCTTCAGAATCCTGATTTTCTCCAAACCATATCCTTCCTCCCACTCTCTGCAACACCCGAAGGTAGGTAACAGCAAGAAGATTCAAGCCCAAGAGCCAGGGCGCCCTCTCACTTCCTTCTGCCATCTTTTCTGTTGGTCTGTCCAAGGGCAAAGTCAAAGGTGCAGGAGAGGAAGGGAAGTCCGAGCACCCAGCTCTCCCCCTATTGAAGGAGACAGGAGTGTGGCTCTTTGACTTTTCAAACTTCAGCCTACCCCAAGGAAGGTCTCCTTCAGCTGCCCCAGTTCTGCACTACTACCTCACTCCACCCTCCCCAGTTCACTTGCCTTGCCCTGGGAAGACCAAATGCTTCCCCTGCTCCCCACATCACTCACACTCTGTAAGAAATGATGGCCCCAATAGTGTAGGTGAGTTCAGACCATTTCTGAACCTACTGACAGGCCTTTCTACTCACAGCTATCACTGACTCAAGCAAGTGAGGGACCGTCAGGGATGGGCCACACATCGCCACGAAAATTATTAAGGCTCTCCTTCATAATTCACCTGAAGAAAGTCAAACAGAATCACTCAATTAGCAATCACTACTGCTTCGAGAACAAAAGTTAACCAGCCCTTTTCCAGAACACTCCAGCTGTGTTTTATGCTGCCTTAATGCACCCCTGCCCCCCGCCGCCCCGTGGAACTCAGCAAGACACAAGTAACAAAAACAAACACAGGTCCTTCCTAAAGCCTCAATGCTAAAACATGAATGTCTGATCACACAGGGACCAGTGCCTCCTCTGAGCTCATCCTCAGCTCTAAGCCCTAGATAAAGAGTCTCTGAATTCTACGGGTCTGGAAGAAGCAAGGCTTCGTGGGGGCAGGGCACCCTCCTGCCATACAAATCTGGCTGCTTCTCAAGCTTCTGAAATTCAGGGTCTGCATACAATTGAGGCCAAAGAAACACAAACTACCACCCTGCAAAGGCCAGTCCTTTAGCCAGGTAATCCAGTGGAGGCCCCAGAGATTGTCCACAAGGACCTCCATCCCCCATTAATACAGCCCCTCTCCACCTTGAGTCCTTCAGCACATCGAGCCCATCCCACCCAAGCTGGCTGGGTTCAGCCCTGCCCACATCGCCCCCCACCCAATGCCCCTCCTGCTTTGCTACCAGTCCCCAGTTTCCGGCATGCAGCTGTTCCTGAGGGACATGAGCAAAGCCCTTAGCAATCCTGGGCGCGTGGCAGGCAGGCAGCCAGCAGAGCATGGGGTGGGGCCTGAGCAGGCTCTGCTCTGGGCCGATGAGTAGGCTGGAAGATGCCAGTCTGTGCCCAGACCAGCCCTGCTGCCCCTCCAACAGCCATGCCTACTACCCCTCTGGGCAAGTACAACCTCACCCTCTTGGGACAAGCTGCCTGCGGCCCTGACCTGGCCCTCTGCCTGCTCTAAGCGGAATCCACTGACGGGTTTTTAAAAAACAAAGTGGCTAGGAATTATTCTGCCCCAGAGTAATCCTGAGGACTCCCAAGCTAGTGCTGGGGACCTCTGAGAGCTCATCTGGCTCCCACCTGAGCAAATATCCGAAGACTATGCAGCTGGCCTCTCACTCAAGCAAACACTGGACAGGAACAAAGGGGCTGAAGACAACAATTGATGATGATCCAAGCAACCTCCCCCTAAACAATGGGAGGGCCAGAAAGTCCCCAGGATCAACCAGCACTTGACAGCAGTCCCCATGCCCTCACCGACGGCAGGTCAATGTAGGGGGTGGCCCGGAGCCAGGCCTCCACTCCAGGCCCTTTTTGTTTTCCTGGTCAGGGCCCAGTAACCAGGGACTCCAGCTTGCTACTCCCGACTCAGGGTCCCTACACATCCATGCAGCCCCTACACCCTCTCACTTTTACACATTCCCACCCCAGACTAGCAGGAAGCTCCCTGTGTCTTCCTCCCGGTCCAAGAGAAACAAAGTCCACCCAGAGGGCTCTCAAGTCCCAAGTTCCCCCACCCAGCCTACCCTGTATGCACCGCCTCCAGAGGCTGGAGCCAGAAAGGTGGCTAAGGAGTTACCTGTGCAGAACACCAGCAAGCCCCGAGCAATTGGCCTTCCTGCTATCCCCAAAGTCCCCCTCTCCTATCCAACCCTGGAAGAAGATGGGAGTCTGGTGGGAGCTTCTCCATGGCAGGTTGTTCACCAGGCTCCCAATCTGAGACCAAGGCCTCTCCCAGGCCCACAGGGGAGTCCAAAGCTGGGTCCTCCCTGCTCTGACTGAGGCTGCCCTTCCAGGTCTTCTCGGCTAAAGTCCACCTGAAGCTCCACACGTGGAAGGCGGTGGGGGGCCAAACTCCACCCACTCCACTTACTAGAGCAACAGGTGCCATGAGCTACATCTCGGGTGAATACCTGATTCTGGACTATAGCTTTCAGCTTCACTCTCTGCCCAGGGAGCTTCTCACAGCCAGGCCACAGTTTTCCTCAAACCCCCTACCTTGAAGAGAACCTTGCAGTTGATCCTAAATTATTATCCTGGAGTGAGAATAGTGGGAACACCATTCAATCTTCCCCACGTGACAAAAGGAAGCAACTATCCAGTTGAGAAGAAAACTCCCCTCCCACTCTAGCTCCATCTGCCTCAGAGGTGTGAAACAGAGCATGGAAACTGCAAAATATTCTCACACTCTATAACGCTTAAAGAAGACTGAACAGAACCTCTATCCAACTGCTTTAAGGGATGAGGCAGCTGAGGGGTAGAGAATGAGATACTGACTGAGGGGAGTGTGGAGTTGGCAGAGGCCAGCAGCAGGCTGGCAGATGGGCAGGTGTCTGTGTAGGGGAAATCCCCTCCCCTTGCCTTAGAGGGGGCACATTCCCTCCTGCCCCCCCACCACCACCACCACCCCAGCAAGGAGATGGGAAGATGGACAGACAGCAGTAAGGACAAGAGCACAGAGGAGGCATGAGGTAAGCTAAGGGGAGGAGGCAGCCAGGCTGGGGGTGAGGGCATGTGTGACAGAGGCACTGCTGGTGGTACCGCAAGGGCAAGTTAGCTGGCCCACATCAGACTCACGGGGTTAGTGTCTTCTCCCCAACCAGCCAGCTCTCCTGGTTAGCACGGTTAGCGTTAGCGACAGACTCATGGCAGATGCCCTCCAGCCACTCCATATAAACAGACAGCTTGGTTGAGAGCAGCCCAACTCTGGAGCTGCAAAGAGAGAGCAGAAGGAATGCCAAACTGCAAGATGCCTGAGGGAACACACTGCGCTCTTCAGAAGGGGAAGCTCCTCCAGACTTATCACTAGACCCTCCGGGGCTTTCTCCCATCCAAAAATCATGCCAGGTGGAAGTGCAGCATACCCCCTGCCAACCAGTAAGGCCAGCTGGCAGACCCCAGGGAATAGGGCTCTCTGGTTGGTCAACCAAAAGAGAGGAGAGCTGTGGTGGAAGGAGGCACTGCTGCCAGGTGCAGTTCTCCTGTCTTGCCTTTTCCCTGGACACCGCTGCCAGGCTGCACCATAGCTCCAAAAGCTGGGTTGTCAGAACAAAGCCAGCCACAGCTGCAGCTGCCACCCATCCCATGTCTGTGCCAGCAAAGTCCACCCCACCACCTCCCACAGACTCCAAGGCAAGGGGCCGGGAGAGAACTGGCCCAGGGATCAGAGGCTGCAACAAGAACTGCATCGAAGGCACAATACAATGGGGCAGTGTATGACCTGGGCCAGCCAAGGGAAGGGGTGGCACACTGCCACCTTTCAGTTTCTGAAAGGCCAGGGGGATGGTGCTTCCCAGGGAGCTAGCCCCAGAGGAACCCAAAGAGCAAGGATAAAGGAAAGCCATGCTGCAGCCAGGCTCCTCAGACTCTGGCAGCGACTACTCCACTCAAAATGAGCAATGCCCAGAGAGGCTAGCGTTCCCATCACAGCAAGCCCAGGAAACAGCAGAAAAAAATCTTTCCTGTCACTTCCATAACCACTCTAGGGGAAATGACAACCTCTAGCTTAGAAATCTCAAGGCAAATGGAGCCACAGTAGTGAAGTCCAGAAACACCACAAGATGTGACCCCTAGAGCAGAAGAGCTACAGCAAATGTAGCAGCAAATACTGCTTGTGCTTATAGAGAAGGGCAGCATGTGGGCAAGGAAAAAAAAAAATTCCTCTTTTGTCTGGAAAGCTCTGTGGATGATGAGATGACTCAGGGCAGAGGGAAGAGAACAGAGACCACCCTGGCACCACATATGGGCCTGGCCATTCTTCCAAACCTAGGTTAATCATTCCCAATTGCCTACTCCTGGGGCTCCCCGTATTACTGACAACAGCCCCAGAGCTCAAAAGGCCAAGGCCTGACTAAGGAGGGGGATATAACCACCTAGAAGAGAGAACAACTCTTCTATAGGCTCTGACCTCTTCCCTAGATTGGTAAGAAGGCAAAGCCATTGACAGGCTACCTTCAGAATCCTCGCCCACAAATAAAACTGAAAAACACCAGCTAGGTCTGGTTTGCTTTCAAAACACGGCAGCAAGTAACCTAGGTAATCCAAGGTTTCAGAAATCAGGGACTGTCTCTGCATTGAAACAGAAGTTGAAGTTGAGAAATCAGGTACATTTACTCTCTTCCCAGCCATAGATAACAGGAGGGTGGAGGGAGAAACACACGAGGTGAAGCAATGATGCCCACACCGTGTTTATAACCATCCCAATTCCCAGTCAGGGCACTCCTGCCAGACAACTTCATCTCAGGATGAAGAACCATCCCTCAGAGATAACCAGCATGTCTGCCGTTATCTTCACTTCTAGTAAAGATTCTGCATCCTCCCCAAGAAGCCAGCCCCAGAGGAAGCCTCTAAGCTGGGAAAGAGGCTCCAATCGGGGCTACTTGACCTGACTTGTTAGGTGAACAGAGCAAGCTGAAGAACAGCATGAACCACTACTGAGTTGTGTTTATTTTACAAGAGCTACATAATAAGGAATGTCTAGAAGCACAGAAAAATGATTCGAAGGATACAGGGTAGTTCTCTGTCTCTGGGAAAGGGGCTTACACAGGAGCAGTGGGGGAAGAAAGGGAGGGTGTTTTTACTTTTTCTTTTGTGTATGTTTCTGTATGCCTGGTCTTTCATGCAAGGACATAGATCATGCTTATGATGAAAACAGAATTCCTGGACAAACAGGACAAAATCCTTCCATCTGCACTGTGCTTTACCATCCCGGAAGTCATTTCCCTTCCACTTGTATGTCCTTTGATCCTTGTGGCCTCATGAGTCCCACAGAATAGGTGGAGTTCTCCCATTCTGAAAGGACAGAGAAGACAAGTGACTTGCTCAAGAGCACAGAGAGAACCGGGATAGAACCCTGTTTCCGATCCCAGTGCAAAGCATGGAAGACGGCCTCCTCTAGCAAGCCAAAGGAAAGCCCTGACGATTCTGCCCTGATGTAAAGACCCTCAAAGGTTTCTGAGACTGAAGTCCCCATGGGCTTACCTGGGAATGCACAGAGGCCACTGTTCAGTACCCCAAATGATAAATTCAGCTATCCTACCATTAGCTGAGTGAAGCTAGCTGAATGAAGCACACAGCGAGGCTAGTGCAGTCTAGACTGACTTCCCAACAGGCAGGTCACTTCCCCCACAGTTCACTGGGAAAGCACAGAAGCTCTTCACAAATAGGGGGCCATGTCCTTTACAACTTCCAAACGTCACCTCACAAACGGCTGGCACTTATGAGATAGTAACCAACGAAGAAGAGGTCCCACTTTCACACTCATGGCCAGTCCAGGAGACTCAGCCCCTTTGAAGCCTAAGCATACACAACACAACCCAGTCCTGCTGGCTCACCCAATCTCCTCTCAAATCTGCTGAACATACAATGCCGCTCACCAGCCCTGCCAAGATGCCATCGGTGAAGATATGCCACATTGCAATGGCAATGTGCGCTCCCACACTGAGGGACAAGGGGTAGAACCCAGGGAGAACTCCATCACGTCACTTTCAGTCACCAGTCTCATCCTTTTGATTTGTCTAGGCATTAACTACTAGGGTTGTAGTAGTTCCTGGCTGTGAGCATGGAGTACACCTAGACAGAAATGAGCAATACAGCCAGAAAAGCAAGCAGGTTGTGGGGCACTGAAAGGAACTTAATGAGTAACAAAGAGGATGCTAGCATCCAGACTTTGTAGAAGATGGTGATTAGCAAGAAAATATACCGGTGTGTACTTCACTTCTGCTTTTAACCTCTTCTGCTGACTCAGGGATATGTTACAAGAACATAAGAAGGCTAAAAAGGGAGAGAGCTAAAGCCAAGCACCTGGAAGATCATTTAACCACATTAACTCAACTCTAGACAATAATGGTAATGCTATTGCTAATACTATCACCTTTTGTTTATGCAGGACCTTGCTTCCTAAGAGTTCAAAGGATTTTGCCAGATAGATCCTATCTGCTTTCATTTCAAGAAGGAAGGACCGGTTTGGGTCACACAGTAACCAGGATAGCTCAGCACCTGCCACGGAGAGCTCCTAAGAAGGTTTCAGAGATAAAAGATCTTGCCCTGAGTAGGGGAGGGACAGGTTAACAGCCATCTGCATTACAGTTTGGTACATGTTTTCAGAGCCTAGAGGAGAGGCACCTGGCTGGGGCAGGGGTTCAAGGACCAGACAAGGAGGCTGCCCTCTGAAAAACTCAAACATATCTTCCTCATCTGGACTGTAAACTCAAACTGGCATTTGAGCACCACTGGCATTATACAATTAAGTGGTCTAGACTTCTAGAAACACATTCCAAATACATTTCATTGGTGTTTTGGGGGAACTGGTGCTCTATCAACTACACTAAAAACAAAAAGGCAAAGAATGGACAGTGAACCCCCAGCTACCAGCCCTATTTCTGGGGAACATCTGAGTTAAGTCCATTCTGTGACACAAGATCTTTAAAGTCCTTAAGAAAACATGAATCCCTTTTTTCCTCCCCGGCTGCTTGAAGCTCGGCCGCCATCATGAATGACACAGTAACTATCCGGACCAGGAAGTTCATGACCAACCGACTGCTTCAGCGGAAACAGATGGTCATTGATGTTCTTCACCCCGGGAAAGCAACAGTACCTAAGACAGAAATTCGGGAAAAACTAGCCAAAATGTACAAGACCACACCAGATGTCATATTTGTATTTGGATTCAGAACCCATTTTGGTGGTGGCAAGACAACTGGCTTTGGCATGATTTATGATTCCTTGGATTATGCAAAGAAAAATGAACCCAAACATAGACTTCCAAGACATGGCCTGTATGAGAAGAAAAAGACTTCAAGAAAACAGCGCAAAGAACGTAAAAACAGAATGAAGAAAGTCAGGGGGACTGCAAAAGCCAACGTTGGTGCTGGCAAAAAGGAGTAAAGATTCAGCAGTGGCTTTATCTGTGGTGATTGTGCAGATTTTTTTCATGAGAGGATTAATAAACTAAGAACGTTAAAAAAAAAAAAAAAAGAAAACATGAATCCTCAAACACCCCCATCCAGTCATCCACAGCTTTAACTTCGTTACAAATCTACCACCTATACACCCCCACCTATATCCACCAAGGTCACCACCAATCTCATATAAAGGTGATCCATCAGACAAGTCATTACAACACAAAAGATGGGGAGAAACATCAACTCTTTGCATAGGCTACTCAGGTATGATGTCCCTGACCTCATCTTTTATGTTGCTTCATTATAAGAAGATTCTCCCAATTTTACTCCCACCTCAAAAAGGCTTCTGGCTACCTGGCAGAAACTAAAAGGCTTATTCCAGCTTGAATAAAACAAAGCCTTTTCTTATCCATTGTGTTTTCCAGAATAGCATTCATTTATTAAACAAACATTAACTGAGCATCCTTCACATAACTGTTACCATGCTACACGCCATGAACTCATTATCTCAAAACTCCTACAAAAAAGATATTGTCACCCTCATTTTATAAGGGACAAGACCAAAAGTCCTACTAGTTAAGTAATTTGTCCAAAGTCACACAGCTGGTAAGAGGCAGAACCAAGATTTCAGCCAGCTTGGCCTCGCTCCAAAATCATACTCTATCACACTGCTCACCTTACTGTGAACTCCCCACACCCCTAACCCTCATCTCATGATTAGGCAGCGTCCCTCTTCAGGAGAGGGTCAGTCAGCTCTGTGAAAGAGGCCAAGAAGTAAACAGAGAAATTGCCATATAATATGGTAAGTGCTGGAACTGAGGTTGCCCCCACAAAGTGCTAGGGGGCACCGAGAGGAGGAAAGGAAAGCAGGGAAGACTCCTTACTGGAGGTGACAGATTGAACTGGGTCCTAGGGGATAAGCAAAGTTTCAGAGACAGGTGAGCATCATGGAGAGGGAAATGCACAAGCAAAAAAAGAATAAAGTAAATAGATGGCCCTAAAGGTTCAGGAGTAGTGGGAAATTCAGGAGCAATGAAGCACAGAGCAGATGAAGTGGAGTGACAGTAACTCAGGCTAGAAGGTTGAGTTTGGGCCAGAGTATAAACAACCTTTCTGCATGCTGAGCTAGAGTGTAGACTCTCCTGAATAGGGGAGAAGCCAAGGCATTTTTTAAAAAGATTTTATTTATTTGAGAGGGAGGGGGAGAGAGAGAGAATAAGCAAGGGCACAAGAGCAGGGAGAAGGGGAGGGAGAAGCAGACTTCCTGCTGAGCAGGGAGCCAGAAACAGGGCTGGAGCTCAGGAGTCTGGGATCATGATCCAAGCCAAAGGCAGACGCTTAACTGACTGAACCACTCAGGCACCCCAAGCATGAAACTCTTGGTCTTGGGGTTGTGGCTCAAGCCCCACATTGGGTGTAGAGATTAGTTAAAAATAAAATCTTACAAAGAAATAAAGAAAGGACAAAGAGGGAGGTAAAGGGTGAAGGAGAGAGTGCATTCCAGACAGCACGGCTGGTATGTGTAAAGGCCCAGAAACCAGAGAATAAGTTCGCAGAGCTGTTAAGAGGTTGAATCCAGGTGAGAAACCACGGCCTAGTTTCCCAGAGGTCCTTGGCACTCAAAATATGGTGGTGAGGAAACGGTGAAGGGATTAGATACAAAGATCACACATAAATAAGGGGTGTTAAAAGAAGAAATGGAGGGATGCCTGGGTGGTTCAGTGGTTGAGCGTTTGCCTTTGGCTCAGAATATGATCCTGATGTTCCAGGATCGAGATCTGCATCAGGCTCCTTGTGGGGAGCCTGCTTCTCCCTCTGCCTATGTCTCTGCCTCTCTATCTCTCATGAATAAATAAATACAGAAATCTTTTTTAAAAAAGAGAGAAAGAGAGAAGAAATGGACTTCAAAAACAACAAAACCAGAACAGTAAAGGCAGAGAACCGCCTCCAAATCCATCAGCCTTCACCCTGCAGTTCAATCATTTGCTAAAAGGAGGCCAGAATCCAGGAAGTCTGAGGACTTCTACCAAAACACAAAGGTGTACTCTGTGGAGATTACACGTTCCGGCATGCTGACTGCAGCACAAATCGAAATAAAATACATTATCCTGAAATATATCGCTCCTCAGTTAATGGTGGAGGGGAACAGCCACTGACAGAGACTAACTCTCAAAATCTCATATATGCCACAATAAGTAGAAAAAGGTGATCCAAGAGCTAGGTCGGAATTCCCAGAAAAAGCCCTAAGTCCTGAGCTCCCTATTCCTCTGAATTCTGGTCAGAAATCAGGCAGACATCAGGCGCGTGCCTACTCAGTTGGCCAGGCAGAGAGTCATTTACTAAAGAAAAAGATGGGCCCTGAGGGCGTGTTAAATAGACAGGACGTGACTCAGAAGGAGGGGAAGAGTGATTCTTAAGTGCAGGGCAAAGGAAAGCCAGTCAATCAAACCAAGGGCACACCTCTGCCCCAAGGCTGCACACACAGGCCTCCAGCTTTGCTAAAGAGACAGCGCACTGCGTCAGGACCTTCCTCTACCACAGGAGCTTCAGCAGAAGCACATCAGTTTTCCACTTTCCTCTGAAGCTGAGGGGCCGGCACTGTTTAAAATGCCACCTATTGTTTTCTCTGTAGTAGTTTGCTACCTACTATTTTTAAAACTAAGATAGATAAATAAATAAATAAATAAATAAATAAATAAATAAATAAATAAATAAATAAAAAACTAAGATGACATCCAGATTAAATTGCCTATGAATTTAACACTATGGCTACTTCAACTGCTCCTGTCCGTAATCAAAGTCAGAGATGAGCCTTTTACTTATGTCTACACTGATACACACCCCCTTTTAAGGTATGCTAAGAGTGGACCCTCAGGTCAGCCTGCTCACCCAACCCAGGTCCAAGGTTTTCCAAAGGGCAGTTACCAAGCTGAATCATGAAGAAAGAGTCCAGATTTGGCTAACGTGGCAGAGGGCTCCCTCCCACAGTCCCTAAACCAGTTTTTCTCTCAGAAGGAGACAGCTGTGAAGATCTCAGCTCCTAAAACATGTTTAAAATAACTCAAAAAAGTTTACTATCTAACCATCATGACAAACAAGAGATGCAAATTGCCACTAGGCATATTTAATAAAGCGTTAACTTCATACCAAGTCAAAAAAAAAAAAAAAAAAAAGCTCAATTGCTGAAGCCAGATCGTCTGGTTTCAAATCCCAGCTCTGCCCTTTACGTTGAGCAAATTAACTTCTCTGCACCCTTATTTACTCATCTGTAAAATGAGGACAATAAAAGTATTTGCTTCACAGGGTCATTATAAAAATTAAATTAGTTAATACATTTAAAGCACTTACAACAGTGCCAGACACACAGAATGTGCTCAATAGGTACTATTATTGTTATAGCTCAACAGCAAAGATAATTCTAAAACTTCACAACTTCAAACGGGAAATCATGGGCATTTTAACATCACTTTAAGTAGTTTCATGAAGATGTTCTCACTATATGCCTCATCTCTCTAACATCACGACAGCAGCTCAAACCAGTACAGGGTCTCCATAGAGAGACACCAGGTTCAATCGTGAAGCAGAAGTTTGTGCTGAGACCTGATCAACAACAAATACGTATGGAGTGTCAGTCACTGCTCTAAATACATTAATATATTAACTTATTTAACCCTCACAACAACTTTATGAGATGAGTACTCTTACCATCTCCATTTGATGAGAAAGCTGAGGCACAGAGAACTCTACAATTTCCAAAGGTCACAAAGCTACAAAGGGCAAAGCCAGGATTTGAACTAGGAATTCTGGCTCCAGAGTCAGTATCTTAACTTCTCTGTGTGCTCCCCACACTGTCCTTGCTGATCACAACTCTAAGGAGTATCCACAAATTATCAGAAAGAGAAAGCTCGGGCAGCCTGGATGGTTCAGCAGTTTAGTGCCGCCTTTGGCCCAGGGCGTGATCCTGAAGACCTGGGATCGAGTCCCACGTCTGGCTCCCCGCATGGAGCCTGCTTCTCCCTCTGCCTCTCTCTGTGTCTCTCTTGAATAAATAAATAAAATCTTTAAAAAAAAAAAAAAAGGGAAGGAAGAAAGAGAAAGCTCCCAAACTTTTATTAGAGTCACAGCTAAATAACATCGGTTCTTCAGATACCTGAAGGTATTGAAGCTGGCCTAGTAATGGTGATTTGGGTTGGTTGTCTACAGCAAGCCTTTTGTAGGGGGATAGACAGGGAGCAGGAGATGGTTAGTGAGGAGTCTTGGATCAAACTAGACCTCCCAATCTAATCATGGAGCAGATGTCAGTCATGAAATGAGCTTCTGTAAAAAGCCTGCCCCCAACTCTGGCTTGGGATGCTATAGGAACTCTGGAAAGGCATTAAAGGAAGTGAGGACCATATTCACTGTACTTTGTGGCTCCAGACCCCTTCCCTTTTCTCTAACCTCAAATCCACTATCTCTTAAGACATGCTTAGTCTGGCTAGTGAAACTGATTTTCTTTAAATGTGGTTTGATGGGGGGAATACATGGGAAAAGAAGAAAGCTATCAGAAAAGTTCTACAATTCTTTCCTTCCATCACCACACTGATCCAGACTGTAAAACAGTTCTCACATATCAGGGATCTCAAGTACAACAGTGATACAATAAATAATCCCAGAGCTTTACACCAGACAACTCGACCCCTTACTGATAAACTGACCTGGGTTTCTTCTCCCTAACCTCAACCTGCTTTTCCTCCTCCACTGACCCCACCTACCCACCAAATCCACAAACCCAAAGGAATACATGAGCTTTTCTTACCCAAAGAAAGATCAAAAGAAGTAGACCTGCTGCAAGAGTAAATTCAGGAGTTGGTGACAGAACACAATGAGACTTTTTCCTCATGACTCCCCCTCCGATCTGTCACCCACCAATCTCTACTTCAGGTAGGATGCCAAACTTAAGATATGATGGGGAGATCAGAAAAGATACAGTGAGCATGTAGGAAACTGCTTGTGACAGGGATGTGTTAAAGTACTTTCAGCCTGATCTCTAGGTCCTTGACCATGTTCACTTGCACAGGTGA